CTCCCTACACTTCTTTCGTGCGCTAGCCGCTTCCCACGTGCACAGTCAAGGCTTCTATATTTGATAAATTTAAATAAATAAATAAATAATAGATAAATGGGAATATGAATAAATAAAAATAAAATAGCAAAAATTCCTTCAAGTGGGTAGTGAAACTAGAAGAAAAAGGTGTCTTAGAGGAAGAAGTACTATGAATTTCATTCGGCTTAATCTCTGTAAGTCCTTTCAAAGTCTCTGCGTTTCAATTCAAAAATACCTCTGCAGGTCAACAGAGTAAAAACGATCTGGAGGTTGGCGCACGAAATTTAACTTTGTTTAAAAATGTAAATAGATATGTGCCAGGTGTTCCTTCGATGCTGTTTGGCAATTTTTCTCAAATGCTCCCTAAAATCTTACCTTTATGCCTTCCTTTGATCTTTTAGGTATAGATGATCACTCAGTTTGTCTACATGAATCGTTTTTAGATTGATTTGTAGCAAGTTCCTTTCCCAAAGTGAGGAAAATTGAGGAATTGGCGCAGATTGGTTTCAAGTTTCGCGCGATAGTGGGCTGAACACAAGAGAGAGAACTGGATATCAGTATTAATACAGCTCGCCCCAGATTCCTCCCAACCAACGAACCTCTAGCTGATGTTCCGTTAGCTTGCAGTTAGTCATTACTTTCGCATGCTGTTGATGTTAATTGTCGCTTCATGGCAAGTTATTGTGGCCAAAATTTCCAGTAGTTGTTAAGCGTGTATGGTTTTCCTGAGAATTCCCTGGTTTTTCCTTGGGAGAATGATCGTCAACAAATGGATGATCGTGGCTTTTATTGTTGCGTTTGTTATTCTCGAGATGCAAATTCTTCAAATGACGAATGTTACAACACATGATGATCACAACGGTAGGAGAAACCTTAATCGAACACATTAATGTCTCCTCTTGTTTTCATCATAGATGGCTCTTTAAGAAGATCTTAAGTGATAGTCATTTCATGATACCCTGCAACTTTGGGAATCGTTTATGACTAAAAACACATGTGCTCTTGTAATGTTCAGTTTGACATTTCGAGTTTCCATTTTGCTGGAATGTTCTTTCAAAATCTTAAATACTTTCCTTTTAACTGTATTTTGTGATTGATTCTCTCCACATCGAGATGAAATGGAGAATTCGTGTTTGTGTAATTGAGTAAATCTCCAAACTGCCCATATCACGCTAAGAAACGTCGTCCGTCGAGTAAATACGCACAGATTCGTTCTCGATGCTGGCTCCGACTTGATTTATTAAAAAATAATTGGTTTAAGCAGCCGTTCTTAATCCTTGGCTCGTAAGCTAGGTATTCGGGATTAATTGAAAGATAAAGTTTAAGATGTCAGTCCGTTTACAATAACCATCTAAACAGTTTTTATGTTTTGTATACAAGATTAAAAGTACTACACCTAAAATACGTTGTACCCGTAACTTCTAGATACTGTGAACTTGAAAGCAACAAAGGATGATGTTAGCTATCATTTTTGATATTGATTGTATGATAAACATTGGGTTTCTGACAGGTTTAAAATAATCCTCTTTCCACTTTCAAGAGCCTTATTTCTCCCAATTCAACCAGCTTTACTACTAACTAATTTCAACTAGCTTTACTACTCTCCAAACTTACAAAAAGGGTTTAGAATATCAAAGCCTAATGGAAAACAAAGACAACTAGAGTGTTATCCACTCCATGTGCTCTGTTTTATGTTAGAATGAAACTTTTTGTTTAAATAACATTATCAAATCATGATTGATGAAGAGGAAGTATAAAAGACAAGGGAGATGACCTGTTACATTCCATCCATATACCACTGTTATCCAATTTTCTCTGAGGACATCAATTTCTTTGGTAACATACAGTAGTTGGTCATTAACCTGGTGGTCAATTCTCCTGTTCTTCACATGTTCCTTTCTTTTAATGCTTAATTTTGTTCTTATTTTAGAGTATGCAGGGAATTTGCCGTCTAGCAATATTTTGAGAGACAGGGGTCAATTTGAAAACAACTATGAGGTGCTGCAATATTTATTGTTTCATTAGTTTTTTTTCAGGCCAATATCATGGCTACTGATTTGCAGTAACATTAGGATAATGTTAAGTGGAAAGGAGAGCATTCTCCACATCATAACCCTTTCACTCCCAAGATCTCATTTGTACTTCTCCTTACTGTCTGCTAAATAACTTTTATGTTGTTCATTCTGAGAATTTGGTATTGGATCAACTAGTAATCCTGATAGGGTAAGGAGAAATTTTGTCTTATTACCCATGGGAGCTAAAGGGTCAATTTAAAAAACAGTTCAATCCATCAGAATATAATGAGAGAATTTTGTGAACTAGGGGAAGAATTCTCCAAACTCGAACACCAAATGAACACACTATTGAATTTGGAAGAGTCTTTTAAGAATTAGACTGCTCTGCTGCAAGTTTATTACTGTAGAGGGACGTACTCGCTCAGTGGCCAGAGCTTATGCTGGTTTGATTGTACCATATCTGGATGACATGCATGTGTATTGGAACTTTAACCCTATCATTCCATAGATTGAAATATAAATCCTCCATACTGTTTGCTCTACATATCTTACAATTTTAGATCTAAGAATTTGATGTTTGATCACAGATTCTCTCCTGGTTAATTTTTCTCACTTATCATGACCTTTCTGCTCAATAATGTATTGAAATTGGACAGCATTTTATTAGGTTTTCTGGGAACTTTTTTGGTATCCTTTGCAAATTGCTATGCAAATTATTTTGCCCACACACTTCATTTACCTCACTCATCCAAGTGGGCTTATAACAGGAAAATTTTTGTTTAGGAAAGGCAATAATGTGGCCCATTACCAGGTAGGGCTTTTAAGTGCGTGTGAGGAGGGAGGAGGCAGTTTACAGTAACCACATTTGTAGACTAGAGACCAGTTAGTTGCATTCTTGTCTGAAGGATGACACTATCAATACATACATATGGAAAAATTGCCTTATTATCGAAAGTCTCACACAAATTGACTTAGCGCAAGCAGAAACCAGACTTATTGATCTTGAGGCTCTTCTGATAATTGGATGGTAACTTCCCACTGTGCTAAGCTGTGACCCCATTTGGGGTGCATTGCCTGGAGGGGTCAGGTGTACAACTGCTCATGCAATGATGTGTCAGTCCTTACATGAATGTAGATAGCTTAATTTACATTTTTAGTCAAGGAATTAAGTAGAAGTGATACTTCTAACCTCAATTTAGAATGCAAAGTGGTTTTAATGAGGTAGATGTTATTGTATTAATTCTTGTTAATATTATACCCTTGTGTTCTTTTGGTGATGTTAACCAGAGTTGATAAAATTTAACTCTTCAGATTTGTAACTTTTTTGTTTATAAAACTTAATTTTCTAAGATGTTTCATTCATTCTATCTCTTTCAACAGTCTGACTCATCCACTAGAGGGAAAGCCAGATTACAAACTGAAGATGATCACATCATAATTTTCTACAACAGAGTCCCAAAGACAGGCAGCACATCTTTCATGGGTGTGCTTTATGCTTTATGCCGTCCAAACAGATTCCATGCTCTGCACCTCAATGTTAGTCGAAACTCTCACGTGATGTCACTTTCTGATCAGATACGTTTTGCTCGCAACATTACAACATGGAAACAGGTGATGCCAGCTGTCTATCATGGTCATCTTGCCTACATGGACTTTCAAAGACTCGGTGTTTACCAAAGTCCCCTATTTATAAACATGATAAGGAAGCCTTTGGACAGACTAGTTTCCTACTACTATTTCTTGAGGTTTGGAGATGATTTTAGGCCATACCTTCGAAGAACAAGACAAGGAGATAAAGAGGTATGGAAATTGTGTTTAAGAAAATGTGGTGGAGAGTTGTTTGAAATTTGTCTAGATTTTGTGAATTTTTGAACCAACCTCCATGGATTCTGATTATGGATGACGGTTACTTGAATTTTGTTATCCATTTGAGTTATTGTATATATGAGTATTGAAGTTGGAAACAATTCCAAATGGCTGTATGTGACATGCAATTGTTCTATATTGAAACATACTTATGACAAAAATGATTAATTTTTGGGATCCATTTAACCCTTTAACTCCCAAGATCTGATTGTCAATTCTCATTTTTAGCTGTTACACATTTCCTTGTATATTACACATAGTTATTATGAGAATTTGTTGTTACATGTAGGTCAAAATAACAACTTTTAACTGATAAGTTTGACAACAATATCCACACATTGGACAATGAATGAATATCAAAAATTGTAGAGAGAAGTTACATGTTAATCGCATCTCCAAGAAAAGGGTGGAAAGGTTGTCACAATATCGATAATTTGTGTCTTCCTGTCTTAGGAAAATGTTGATTTCTTTCCAGCTCACCTAATTCTAAAGGTCATTTTGTGGGAAAATGGTGAAATGTGTGAGTAACATAGCACTTTGAAGTAAACTAGCTGATATGTTACATTTTCTGACTAGACATTTGATGAATGTGTTCAGAATGGAAATCCAGATTGCAGGCCTGAGAGGCTGTGGCTGCAAATTCCATACTTTTGTGGTCATGCACCGCAGTGCTGGTGAGTTCCACTCCTGTTTGTCCCTCTTTTTTTTTGTTTTTGTTTTTTGTTTTTTTTGTTTGTTTTTTTTGTTATCAATAGCCATGTTTTATTAGTCAACATAAGTTATTTTAAAACATAAAATTTGGCAGTTTATACTGTTCTAATCAATGACACATGGAAACTGTAAGTGAGTGAAGCCTGCAGGATTTTGACCTGGCACTGGAGATAAGAAAAGTTGTAATTAGCCACTCAGAATTCTGTGCCAAAATTTGACAGCCTGAAGCATTTGTTCTTTAGATGTGGTGAATATTCTCTTGTTTCTTTACACTATTTTCTTGCCACCACATTTCTGAATGAAAATGCCAAGGATGTGAGTTGAAGTAAGTATGGTGTGAGAGTGGCTCACACCACTAGAATAGAATACAGAATAGAATGCAGTGACTGATAGTATCACTTGCACCACTGCATGTACCCCCTTTGTCCCCCCTCCCCCCTGCCCCTCACCTCCAAACCTTCAGGAGCTCCTTCAGGAAAAAAATTTGTACATGCTGTTTTCAAGGAAACCACCAGAAACAAAATATCTCTTCGTCTCCTAAAAGTTTATTAAATGCAGACTTTAATAAATTACAAGTTATTTTGATTTTTACTCATCTTAAAGCAGAAAAATGATCAAACATCATTCTACAACTCCTAATGTGCACTCATGTGCATATCGAGATTTTTCACATAATTTTTGGAAAATGTATGTTGAAGTGATTGACTTAAATATATTTAAAAACAACAAATTTGTGGCCAAAGTTGACCTGTGAAGCTTTGGAGTAACCTCAACCCACTTACTAAAATGCAATATCAGGAGTGTTTTATGTCTGACTAACTTCCCCCCCCCCCCCCCCCCCCCCCCCCCCCCACCCCCAGATAGAAGTCCTCAGGATACCCCCATGATTTTTCAGGTTTCCAGCACAGCACAGTGATATTGGCCAAGCTTCATACCAGAGACCTTTTTTTTTTTTGCATTCACATTCCAGCACCATAACCATTTATACCCTAACATCAGTATCTACATTCTCCATACTTTTTTTCTATACATTTCTTCTGTTACTGACGAGGAGAATTTGTTCATAAATCAAAGCTTCTTAAGTTGGCAATCATTTCGTTTATTCAGTGGTGTTAAGTTAAGAAGAATTCAGCCACAGGTCACTCCTATCAATAAAAGGTTTAATTACTTAGCAACTACTTTAACCATAAATTGTAATGAATTTCAGGTCACCAGGAAATAAATGGGCTTTGGAGCAAGCTAAAAGAAACTTAGTTGAAAAATACTTACTAGTGGGAATCACTGAGGAAATGGGGAACTTTGTCGCAGTTTTGGAAGTAGTACTGCCAAGAATATTTAAAGGGGCAACAAAATTGTTTAATGAAGGTGAGAAGAATTATCATTAAATACACATACTTATTAATAGCGGAGCTCGCGTAACCCCATAATCATACAAAATAGTAGTAACCTATCAAGCCGAAAAAACCATACAAGTTGCTACTTTTAACATGCGTGGTCAACTGTACCGCGGGCACGCCAACACCACGGCTTTGTCCAGTAGTCCAGTGGTCAGAGCACTGGGCTCCGAGTCGGACGACTCGGGTTCTAGTCCTGGCCGGGGCGTGCGACGTGCGGGAAAAAAAATGCGAGCTCCGCTTTTAGGCTTGGCTAAATCTATATATTAATATGTGGAGAATCCTTTCTGTTGGATTTTTTTTGTTCCTTCGCAAAGTAATGCCATTTTGCTATGAAACTTGTTCAAAATAAATAGTGTGTATGTATATGGAATAACCTTCAAACCAAACTTCAAAATCATCTATTACAATTAAAATAAAGAAAAAAAGAAGCTTGTCAAGCAAATTAGTAAAAGTCAGAATGGTTTTTTGTTTCTAGGCTAAAATTAAACCAAGAAATGTTTTGTTTTTGTGTCGAAGTAACACGTACATAGAAGAGTTTATACAGTTCACTTCTCTATTCTTGATTTTTCTGTATTGAATTTTCATTTACTTTTTTTGTACTTGTTTCTGTTTCAGGTGGTAAATCTCATCTGAGGAAGACAGCATCGAAGAAACCATTGGAAAGTTCAACAATTGAATACTTTGAACAATCAAAAATATGGAAAATGGAAAATGATTTTTACGAATTCGCTAATAAGGTTTTTCAAGATGCCAAGAAGAGGGCGCTGATAATGAAGGACGGTATCTTAGAACCTGTAAAAAAACAATTCTTTTACGAGAAGATAAGGCCAAAATAAGCCAGTAAAGTATTTGAATTACTCAGATTTTTAATATATACTCAGGATAATTTTCCCCTTAAATGAGCGAGGAGTTGGTATTGATGTCCGTAAGAGTGAAGTATCAACTGAAGCCGCCCATTTTAACACTACCGAGTTAACACGAGGAGTTGAGATAAGCACGAAATGACACGGCCAACAGCGTCACATTGTCTCTGAAACTCGCTCAATATTAACATCAAGTCGTCAAATTTAGGTGACTTTCTCGGTGTGGAATGTTTATGGAGCAGCATTCAAGTCCAGAGAGAAAAAGAGAAAAATTGGGATCAATGTTAGTATTAGACAACTGCGCGCTTACCCCTCCCCTAACCCCACAGCAGTCAAAGGGGAGGGTTAGTGTTTGGTTACGGGAGGGGTAGGTGCGCAGTTGCTCAGTGATCTAAAAATTGATGTCGAGTGTGGACTCACTCCTTAAAATGTTGCATTGAAAAATTTCCTTCCGTAATCGTGCAGTTGCGAGGGAAAAATTGAAATGAAACATAGCACGTACACAATTCTGCTGCCTTGGCGTTGTTCGGAAAATCCTCTTGAAATGGAGAGTACCAGTGAAGGAGAAAATTGTCTCTAAACTACTACATGGGGATCTTGTGGAAAAAGACATTGAGAAAAATATAGAAAAGGTACTGTATGCGAAGTTCAGTTGTCTGACTGCCCGTTAATTCGGAATAAGTTAGAAACTTAAACTTTTCAAAATCGTCTTTGCCAACACACTCCCCATACTCCCTCAATAGGGCGAGTGTCGCAAATCCAATCCAATAGTCATCACATCGGTCAATCAGTGCAAAGGTACACGACAGAACGAGCCAATCACTGCTCAGAGTAAACGTATGCGAAAAGAAATGGAACCCAGACTAAGTCTCCTCTCATTGGTTTAGAAGCAGGTGGGAGTTTTTTCTCAACCAATCGGAGATTGTGGTGAGACAAAACTAATGCACTGTCGATTACTTCAAGTCTCGATGATTGCACCTATATGTGTGGGTTGGAGCAGTCTTTGATTGAATATGAAGAGAAATCAGCCACTGCCTTGTTTTTGCTGTATTCGAATCTGTGATTGGTGTAGAATGCTCGCGCCATCAACTAAGCCAATCAGACGCAGATTTAACACCAATCATGGTTTGGTCACAGTGTTTCCAGAGCGTCTGGTAATTTGCCTGTTTTTTTTTTGTTTTTTTTTCCAGTTCATGATTTTTCTCTTTGTTGTGATAGGTGGTTGTGATTAATTTGGCAATGGTTGATGGACAATCAACTGAAAAATGCTCTGTATAGCTCATTTGAAACGCAAAAGTTAACACACATGGGAATACTTTACGGGTAATTAAAGAACGTGGATTGATTTATTTCGTCTGGAATAACGTCTGTAAACGAATCCTTGCAAGCAAGTAATTTTCTGTGAATGATAAACATAATTAGGATTAAACCAATTTTTCCCATGTATACTTGTTTTGAGTGGTTACATATAATGTAACTATACTTTTTTCTCATCGTAGTGCCAACCATAGTTTTTCCACATCTTTTGTTGCTGAGCAGATAAACCCGTTTAATATTCCATATTCTGTTATATATCCAAATAAAAACGTAACAACGACAACTAGACAGGAAAACGTTAAAAAAAATAAATTTTCAACTTTTATATTCAATGGATTTGTATTTCTATTCTAGGACTGGGAATGTTTGATATTTCTGTCATTTCTTTTCAAGGAATCTCGTTTGGGCAAGTCCTTTTGATCCTAGAGGAAGGGATGAATAAGAAATAAAAAAAAAGATAAAAAAGTTGCCGCAAGAGAACCGAAAAAGAATCATGCACTCCCAAAAATTAAAGAAAGATATCAAGAAAAGGTGAAAATAATGACATTGGGGCTGAATATATAAGAACACAAAAAGTGAGCTCTCATTTGCTTAAACCCCCTGTGAAATATCGGTTAAATGATAAGAGGATAGGATAATGACAATTCGGGTGCGAAGTGATTTTCACTAATATTCATCTTTTTAATTGATAATTTTCATTCTTGGAAAGGTAATTTTTTGTGTGTATTGTGCAGGGCCTAGGTTTACCATCTTTGCAAACGAAACTTTTTGCATCGTTCAAGGGCATATCTTTTCGAGGAAACTGGGCTTTTTGCTATATGGCCGTTCTTGTTTATTTATCTGGGCGTTGTACCGCTATGACATTTGATGATATTAATTATCTTTGTATAAATAATTTTCGTGCATGTAGTCTAACATGGTGTTAATTTTTGCTCTGTGCGTTTTCTATTTCGGGTTTATTTGTGGCAGATTGCAGAAACCGTCGTTGGTGGATGAGTGATAGTTGTCTGTTGTCTTTGGTTTTTGTCTCTAGCAACTAGCAATCAGATATCTAACTTGAACGTCATTATTCATAGTTCCCTGTATACTTCGTAAACTTTGTGATAACATCCTTCTCAACAATCTTTCGCAGCTAATTACAACTCAAAACCGAAAACGCATTGAATGGTTTTGAAACTTTGAAACCAATCAGTCACATATTTAACTTGATGACTGGACGTATTCAATGTCCTTGGTACAAATTTGTGCGATCAAACACGACTATTGCTAAGCGAAACTCCACCGTCCTAGTGTCAGCCGGGAGGACCTCGGCACCATTGTACCATTCTTCATGACCAACGACCAGGTCGTCCTCCCCGGACGGTCTACGGTGGACGCGCGTACAATGGCGCACATAATAAAAGCAGTCATTCTATTCTGTCATGTCTTGAACTGCCACATCTCCCCCGTCGACCTAGTCATCGAGAAAAAGAGGAAAAGTATAAGCTTTTAACGTCAGCTGGCGAATTGACATGTTTTATAAAGCACGCAGAGGCATACACGTTCTTGACAAAACTTTTTCGGTCGCGATGGCTGAATATGGGATTTTTATAAAGTGCGAAACAAGAACAGACCCTTATTCAGCCATGATGACCGGGAAAAGCTGGTCAATAAACAAATACTGGTGATCTCTTATCAGTGGAGAATCTACTAAAAGACAAAAAATGACACCATAGAATTTCCAATTTTGATTGGAATATAAAAATCAAGGAACTCCGTTTATCGATTTTTTTTTCTTGATGATGATGCTTTATCTCGATCTCTCTTTTCGCTTAATTATGATATCTCACCTCAGAGGGCTTGTACTTGAAATAAGAAAGCTTCATCTCCTTGTCTGGGCAACCAACTCTTCTTAATCTAAAATGAAAAACAAATCAAAATCAAAATGAGCAGCTGAAGCTCTTTATGATTCTTTATTTCGATAGCACTGTTGTCTTTTCTTCACAGCCGTTCTTTGGGATGACAAGCAAGGCTTTTCGTGGGGGAATAGCGGGGGTGGGATAAAGCTTTGTGTGACACTCTGAAGAACAGCTGCGAAGAAGACTAGTTATTGCTCGGCCATTTGAGATGTTTTCCGACAGTGAATTACATATGTAACCTTACGGATGAGCAAAATTGATTTGAAAGCTTTCTTTTCAATACCCCCAGACTCAGGATCTTACCAGGAATTCTCACGTTTGGTTGCTATTTATTTTTTGGTGATAGTTCTCCTCAGTCCTCACTCACATGTGGGATGATGTATTGAAATGGTGTGCATAAATAGCATAATACTTGGCTAGAATATTCAAGGAGTCAATGAAAACAATCTGCAAAATCTTTCACATATTCAAATGACTCACTTTTTCCCAGTCCATACAGGTTGATCCACCAAGCCAAATTCGCAGTTCAGCACAACGTGTGCCACCGCAACCTTTAGTACTGTCAGGGTGATCTCCTGCAATGAAACTTTCTTCCATGAAATTCATACACAGAAGCAAAAGGATGTAACAACAAAGAAATAAAAAAAAACAAGTACATGTTTAAAAAGGGCCGGATGAAAAGTAGAAAAGAAGCCGAGAACGAAGAACGTGAACCAGGAGACAATCAAGAGAGAAAGGGAAAAGAGAGTATACAAAAGGATTTCAAAATTATCGCGAGAAAAATATATAATAAAAATATTCCGACTTGCTTTACTTCGCCCAGCTCTGTTTCTAGTCGAGACGCTACGTGATTGGTAGTTAAGCATGCGCCACCTTCTCAACCGGTCTGAGGTAATTTTGAAAGCAAGTGAGACCTGGTTACCAGATTGCACGTTTTCTGGCGCTTCAGGAAGGTGTGCCTGCATTTACTCTAAGTTTCTGTTGGTGTTATGTGATTTTTTCCTTTTGTCTGAAAATGGCCCCGTTTGACTAATTTGGTTTTGCTTTTATATCCGAGTAAGACTGGTTCAGTCTCATTTTCGTCAAAGGTCTAGTTAAGGCATAGTTAGAGTATTTACCTGTCCCGCACAGTGATGATTTTGAGGCGTCGCCTCTTCATTAAAGGGTCCATATCCATATATGATGTGATCTATCAGGGCCTACAATTAAACAAGAACAAGAAAGGGGACCTCAACAAAATTATCAACTGATTCAAATGGTGTCTTTAACAAAATTTTACTACCTGTTATTTCTACAATTTGGAGTATTTCCGTAAGAACTGAGTTTTCTTCTACCCTACTTCATTTCTATAGCTCGTAAGGTATTCCATCTTTGATTCTGCTCCAAAAGACATTGGTCCCCATTACTCTTCGAATCGTAAGGAAGAATAAAACTTTACCTTGTTTTCAAATCGAGCCGGTAAAAATTTGTGTGGCTGATCGAATATTCTTTCGTCCCTGTGCACCATGCGTACATTTCCAACAAGAAGTTCGTCTTTTTTTACGATGAATTTGCCGCTGTCAGAGTTAAGGATGAAATCCTCTCTGTTGAGAATAGAAGACATGGAATGTAAGAAACGAAACTTTGTCCTCAGACATAGAGGCTGAGGTAATCCCCATTTAGGTACAAGGAGTTGTTGGTCGGTGCCTTGCTGGGTTACAATATTCCAAAAGCATTTTACAGCACTTTACAGCAAGTGAGAAGTAAATATTATAGATTATAGATATTACGTAAGCTGCTGGAGGGGTTTGTTACTTCATTCAAAATGGTTTATTAAAAGGAAAACACTTTTCATTTATGAAATGACCTTTTACTCCCTGTAACCCCATTTACTGACTGGCCTCTCTCTCGCAATTTTAGATGTAAATATATTAATATGACAGATTTCCCTTACCAAGTATCTCTTATCTCACGAATTCTAGCTCAAAACGCTGTGGCTGATTGCAATCCCAGTGCTAAGTATTTGTAGCTTAGTATCTTTTTTCAGTTATTTATTTATTTTTTCCTGAATAAAAGTTTAACGATGAAGTTTTATCAAGATGAGATGTCAATAAGGAAGACACGATACTGACCTCGCCCGTCCAAAGAAGACTGGCACTGGTGGGTGCATACGCAGTACCTCTAAGATGAAATTGTGCAGGAGCGGCATTTCTGTGAGGGCCTCCTTGGACAGTGCTTGATTCGACAACACTGTTATCATTTCATTTTTCATTTTCTGTTTGTAATCCTGCTCGAGCACGAATAAACGGGCCATACAGGTCCTCAAAGAACCGGATACACCGCCATACGCATTGAAACTGAAAGGAAAAGACGGTGTCGAGATGTTTTTCATGATTACTTTTAAGGATAATATCAAACACTTGTTTCAGTTACGATTTTGATGGTTAGTTTTATTCACAGTTGCCAACGGAGTGCTTGTTAAGTAAGAATAACAACAACAACGCTTTGGAACCCAACTCCCACGCTAGTTTACGTTGTATTTCATAATTGATTATTATCAAATATTTATCATAATTAATAATTATGTAATAGTCGGATACTAGTAGCTCATTGAAGGCTTAAAGATCAACAAGCAAATTTTTGTATGGACTTACGCAGCATGAGTCTGCAAAAACGGGGTCTGCATGTTTCTTGTTGTGTATACAAGTACATGAATATTGATCCAAAGAGAAGTGAAAATTACGATCAGTGAAATAAAGGACAAAGTGGTCAATTGAGATTACAGTGAATACTTTTAAGGAGCCTAAAAATTTGACCCTAAAAAGAGAGTAGGCAAACAGGGTCTTACTTGAGCATAAATAAAACGTCCATCAAAGCTTGTTCCTCTGTCACTCCAGCCTCGACGGCTATTTTGATAATATCGGCAAGAGCTGGACTTTGTCGGAAGGCCTGCTTCAAGCAGCTTGCACCATCTATTCCTTTTCGCAGGGTTCTAATAAAAAAGAAAAAAAGTCTTTGATGAGCAAAGAAAAAAATGGGTAACTGGTGAAAAAACAAATATGTACAAACTACGAGTTAGCGATTGAGCGGGTGAATCCTCTCAGGAAAATGAAATCAACGAGGAGCAATGAGTAATATGGCTCGCATTTGTTACAACAAACTTAAATACTATTGTGCTTAAGACTGGTTTGCCTCGAGATTACACCATTGATTATACGTTTCGTGTTGGGCTTCATTAACGACTGTCTCAATGTTGAAGATAATTGTTAATGTGTTAACATCAACCCTAGGTTATTGTGAAGGAGTTTATGATTTCATAAAATATACCAAATGATAAATCAGTGGATCGAAGTACAATATAATTAATTTGGCTGATCACACACCCTCGCTTCCCCCAGCTTCCTTTCACGCATTTGAACATTGCTTGATGATCGACTCGGATTCCTAAGAAAGCTTCAGTAAAGATGTCACATGTAAGGTCCATAATGCTTTGCTCCCACGTGGATTTCAGCGTAGGGTCTGCAGATATAAAGACATGGAGGGGAAACCGTTGAATGGAATTGTTTGTAATTAACTCAATCACAACTATCACTGACTGTGAATACATAAAAATCATACATGAACCCATGACCTCTGCGATACCAATAACACTAAGGGATTTTGATTGTGTCACGACAAAATCTGCCTTATCTCCCCCCCTTTGAAAGCTCTGTAATTTTCTTGTGCCCCTCCCCCCTCCCCTTCTCCTCATTGGCAATTGCTAGGTATTCAATTTCTAGAGTCCCCCTCTCATAACACAGCGGTCAAATAATTGCATATACGCACTATGGTGGATAATTTGATCCATCATAGTTTTAATGGATAAACATGGAGAATCAAAGGAAGACGTAGTTTGTTCGCACTTTCTAGCTAGGGAAATTTTGAAGTTTCTAAGGGCGAGACGCATACACACTGTTGTTCTGGACTTCACCCACTAAGTGTTAGTTTAAACTCTCTTTTTTACGCTTTGCACGGCGGCGTGATGAAGTCGTCCGTAACCTTGGCCGTGCTGGCGGTACTTCTTCTTTGTTGTGTTCATGGCGGAGTTGCAGGTAAACACCAAGGGAAATGTGTGAAAAAAGGAAGAACCAGAGCCACACAAGATATTTGCGACGATCACAGGTCTGTGCTTATGGCGGATAGTACACTTTACGGCAAGGGTAGAAGAAGGTTCCGTCATTTCCTTTATCACCGAAACGAAGCGTCCGCGTTAAAAACAGTTAGGATATCTCACAATAAAATAAAGCCAAGATTTGATCTTTCTCCCAAATCCTTCTTTCATTTGTCTTGCGCATTAGAATAGTTAGGAATTTAATCTTCTCTCTCTTACTTTATGCTATCCATCCGTTCGGAAATCCCTATTGTTGTTTTCAAACTCTCACGCATGCCCAGTTTTTGACCGCTGTGTTCCGTTTTATTTTCTGCTGTTTTAATCCCCCTTTCGTTCACCTTGTAAACCATGTGATCCCCCAATCTCCCACCCCTCCCCCTACCCTCAGGTGATGATAATGACTGCCGGTCTCTAATGAAGTGGCAAAAACCGATCAAGTTACATCGTAATCAGGCGAGTGAACTGAAATCATAAAAAGTTTCTCACCTGCGTTTTGCCATAATGTGGAATATTCTCGAAGTAGTTTCACACTTGTTTCAAATATTTTACCCTGTTGAGCTATCTTGCACAATTGCATGAGAAACGCTTTTTGTTTTTCGTGAGGAATTCCATTTGCGAACATGGAGGGTGTGTATCCGTCTAGCAGACAGATGTTATAGTTCAGTCGCCCGAACGCTGGCTCTTTGTAAATCTAGGGGAAAAAAAGACAAGACGGAAAACTAACGATAAATGTAAAATCTAAGCTTGCATGTCTCGAAGGACAAAAGGTGTTTCATATCTTTACATGACTCATAACCGCGGGCAAAATTTTTCATATGACCTGGCGACTACAACAGTGATTATGATATAAAATCATTTTTATGCACTGATTTATGAGGGGGGTTGCCTCCCAGGTTTTTTACTACCTATGAATGGATTATATACTCCCACAATAGCCTACGTGCAGCGGCCGCATATCAGAAAGCTTACTCAAAAACTCTTTGTGGACGTCAGCTTTCCTCCGAGTGTTTTACCCTACCCTCCCTGATGGCTGGTAAAACTGCACACTATGGTGGAGAGCTTATCCCATTTTTGGAGAGAGAAGAGATGGTGGGACTAAGAATGGTTTTCACTCCAGGAAGTCACAGTTTTTTGTTTTTTTTTTAGTTCAACCACAGTCAGCCTCAATTTTTCCACCTCGTCATAGCCAGACTGAATCAATCCTTGACAACCTTAAACATCTCCTTTACTCTAAGATTTATTCCTAATGTTTGGAGTTAGTCCAGGGTTGGTAGAACACTATTTCATGATTATATACCTACTCTACTTTTAAAGGAACTCTAAAAAAAAAGACTCAAATATCGGAACGTTCTCAAAAAGCGCATTTCACTCTCGGATTTCTCTGATGGCATTATGTGTAACCTATTTACTCTTTTAGACGTTCTTTCTGACTTCAAGATGAATATCGCTGGAATCATATTGGGTATACAGTACTGATAATAACAGAGATTACTGACCTTTTCCATATTAAAGAGGATGTTAATTCCCTTCCTATCGCATATGTGGATACCTCTGATGCCCATGTTGACCTTAAATACGGAGCACTTGTACTTGTCTCTTCTCTTATAGAAGTATCCGTGGCCGTTCTACTCGATTAAGAAAAAAATACAGTGACCAAATCTTGAAACTTTTTAAAGGCAGTTAATTCCATATTCAACTAGTTAAAAAGCAACAAAATAGAATAAATTTTGTTTAATATATCTCTAAAACTTCTCGCAGAATAGAGAGCCAAAGGCAACACTGAACAACATTGCGACGAGGTAAAGGTTTAGTTTGGTCCCTAGTTGAGTAAGTGAGAACAAAACATAGCAAATCTTTTTCATTGTTGACAGTGAGTGTATGAAAATCATGCACGTGAATTGCGGTTTAAGAATTGAATATGAAAGCGATCTTCGCAGTAATCAACACAATCTAAGAGGTAGTGAAAATAGGGCCTGAAAAAAATCAGACCCGAGCGGGATTTGAACCCATGACCTTTGCGATACGGGTGCAGTGGTCACAAACCGACCGGGAGCGAGTCGTTTTGTCGGTTCGAAATAAACCCGGCCGTGAAGTGATGAATTAATAATTATAAATATATGAAAATGATGTAAGTAATAATTAAGTTGTGTTCATTACTGCCAAGATCGTTTTCGTATTCATTTCTTAAACCGCAGTTCACATATATGATTTTCATATATCCACAGTCATTGATTCATAACTCTATGGGTTTATTATGAACAAACACAATGATCAGCTCTCAATTAGCTTGTTAGCTCCGCACCGCGGGTAACACAAAGGTGATGGGTTCAAATCCCATACAGACCTGAATTTTTTTTCAGGCCTTATTCTCACTACTGCTTAAGTAGTGTTCATTACTGCAAAGATCGCTTTTCAATATTCGTTTTCCATTGTTGACTGATCAAGCAGGAAACCTTCACGTCACCATCACGTTAATGATCCCACTGTTTCGCTTTTACCTTTGTAAAAAGCCAAAGTAGTGGAGCTAATGAGATAATGACTTGTTTTTATCCTGCGTAGCGGTTGCCATGCGAACTTTTTCTCGAGGCCTTGCGTGTGTCGTGTTTTGCTGTTCAGTTGTTTTCGTGACATGACTTACTAATTCTTGTGAAAAAATAGCTTGTGGCTGGTCGGACTCGACATCTCGTTACACATTTTAGGCTACAACTTTTCGCCAAAGTCTCTTTGGCCTAATTAATTGCACCGCTTTGAAACGTCTCGAGTTAATTTCACGTCAGTTTTAAAAATATTTTGGTCCAATTTCCTTTTGGCATATCCGTGTTAATGTTTCTAACTTTGTTTTCTTTTGCGCGTGATTGAAGGCCCAAGTGCATGTAGCCCATATTGCTTGCTCTAACCAGACACAAAGCGACGCAAATTACTTTTACTTCAAGTGCCATTAACATCAAAGGAGAATCAGAACGAAATGAAACGAAACTTGGCAACACAAACATTTGTTTGGTGTCACTGTCTTCAAGTTGCACCATTATCAGCTTCGTGAGAAAAAAGACAGAGTAAACAATTAAAGACTCAGGCGATCAAAGATTTTTTTAAGGTTACCATCCGAACGTAAAACGACTGACAGTGTCAGTCATAATGCGTGTCGTTACTATGTACAAACCTCAGTTTGCAGTCAGATCATTGATCTATTTGCACCATTTATGTACACCATTAATATAACACCACCACGCAGTCAGGCATTTCACAATACAAGGTTTGATTCCTTGTGTAATTGTTCTGATGAAATTTAAATACACTTAGAAAGCGTTTGAACTTTGTACGTTGCCTCGCACGTAGTTTGCGATGAGTAACGCAATTAAATTATAAATTAAAAGTCCTAAAACAAAACTTTGTAAAACTATGACAAGTTATGATTTCTTGAGTTTACTTTATAACAAGTACTTTGAAGAGTTCGATGCCTCTCTTTCGTGCTTAATTGATTAACTTCAGAACTTTAAAACTTTCGACTAGAATTTGAAAACTTACACAGGAAATTTTTAAGAGAGAGTGTCGCAAATAGAGCGCTTAGTACGTTTTGTAACAGGGTCACTTCTAAATAAATTTCTGACTGTAGTCACTCGGCTTCTAGACAGCAATTGCAGGATTTCAAAATCTGATTACACAACATCACTGGCTAATTTACGAAGAGATCAATAACTAACTTCATATATAAACCCAAAATTGTCTGCTTTGACCAAACTCTCTCGAGAATATTCATTAAATTTTTGAAGGTTCAAAGAAGTTAAATACACATTTGACTTCTATTTTGTAGACTTGTACGAAGGAACTTATGCTTTGTAAACAGCAATGGGTATTTGGCAAAGAAGACGTGTCTTATTGGCACTCAATTTTAGGTTTTGTCAAAGAATGCATTAAGTTACGATTCCTTTGCTTTATTCTAGACGGGAGCGACAAAAAATTTACATTCACTGGTAGTTTCTACGAATACTTGTAATCAACTCACCATGACCAACTCGACAACGTGGAAGAACTTCAACCCATATTTTCCGGGAACTTCTTTCTCTTGGGTTTCAGGCGACACCTGCATTGCTGTTGTAGTCGACTCTGGCTCTTCGAGGCTATAAAGCGAAATCAGAACACCCACTCGTCAAATGACTTTTTGAACGAGTCCTTCTCTGATGGCCATTAGCTTGTGATTATGCATAGTCCACTGAGCATGAATACACTTCACACTAGGGACCGAAAATTCCGTCTCGCTGTTTTGCATAAGGATGACGCACGTACCTGTAGTTTAAACCTGTTTAATTTTGTAGTGGCTCACTGTTGACTGCACATTTTGCGCGCGGTTTCGATTAGAACTATTTATCCTGAGGGTTACATCAGCGGCTGGTGCACTGTGTTTATCAGTAGGAACGTCAGTAATACGCTTGAGTGGCTGATCACAGAAATTTGCATGATCATAGACGTGTTAATGACGAGATGTAGTCACAGTAAAGGATGTTTACAATAGTATTGATGATCCACGTATTGCACAAATTCATTATCTGGAGTAATTAGTAACTTACAGGGACGCAGAATGCAAACATCGTTAACTACGGAGGTGGGTGAAGGAGGTGTTATTGAATCCGTTTGGTTGTTAAGGGCGAAACATCGCTTATTATCTTGAGTTTCAGTAATTAATGTATTTTAGGGATCTTCTGTGAAAGAACATGTTGGAAAATGATGTTTTTCTCACTTGAATTAGTTTTTCCAACGAAATAATAGTTGAATAAAGGGGTAAGTTTCTAAAGAAACTGTGGTGCTGCGTCGGTGGGAGAGTATAGCAGGTAATTTAGTGTTAACAACTGGGTTGAAAACGTAAATTAGCCACCGTAAAGGGTAAAAAAGCTGACGTTTCGAGCGTTAGCCCTTCGTCAGAGCGATTGGCGAAGGGCAATAAAAAAATAATAATTCCCTGGCCTTTTAACTGTCCGCCATCTCTGCATCGAAAATATGAGGTGGCACTTTTTGGGGTGAGAGAAAGCTATAGCAATGCCTGTTGATTAATTTTACTATAGGTTTTCTCTATAATTCCCAAACTAAGTCTCATTCCTTTTCACACTGAAATGACCCAACAAGTACAAAATGATTTTAAAATCCAATAAAATCTTCAAAGATAAGTAATGATAGAAGTTAAAAAATAAAGATCAACCTGGAATTCTTTTTATTGCAACTGAGAGGTTTTTGGTGATTGCAATCAAATTCGTTTTAAATAAGCAGACGTCCTAACAAGTGAATGTAAGGAAGTGGGACAGCAGATGTCGGCTTGTAACAAAATTGTGATATAAAGTGATTGATAAAACGTCAAGTGTTTGTTCAATTGTCTAAACAACCAAGTAATATTTGAAACGTCTTGTAACAACAAATCAGCTAAATCTATCAATATCTGGCTTTAATTGCCTGTCTTAGCTCACCCTGGCACGATAACTACTGAAATTCAATAGAGAGAGTGACACTGAGAAATTGGCACAGGAACATGCTTTAGCATTGCTGTTTTGTAGCTTTGTAATTAATTTTTGAGTGGCGTAGTTTCAATTAACTCGTTAGAGTGACGGATTGGTCAGACGAGTTGGGCTTTTGCGAGAAAGGGGGCTACTGAAACAATTCCATACAAGGAAACCAAAATATTATGGTATACCGTTTAGCAACTAACGACTTTTCTCTAAGATATTTTTATTTCCGGTTTTCTAGTGTAAATTGAAGATTCGTTTTGTGATTCTATGAGAATAGTATTTTCTAAAACGACGTGTTCACCTTTAAGTGACTACTTTCGTATTTCACGATCGACCCACTACAATCTCTAAAAGTTGTCGTCCCTGATAAAATTTGGGCGACAGCATGAACTATCGTTTGTATACGTGTCTACAAAGGCAACGAAGAAATTTAACGCAAAGGAATTTGAAGCCATGAATGTCAACGGTGGATATAGAGTTACGCTTCTCTTTGGCGAACCTCCATCTCAAACAATTTAATAATCTTAGCTGGGAATTAAATTGTTCTTTTCGTCATTTTAAAACAAACCAAACAGAAGGAAAATCCTAAGCCCTTCAGAGAACAGATACCTACAATTAAATTCTTTACGTCACCAGAAGGAGCTGCAAGGATGTAACATACATCAGTTAAGAGGATAATTTTCGTTGTATGGTTGCAAAGAAAGTCAAACGTCTTCTAAACATTGCATGTCGGATATTTTTGAAGTGTAACCTTCAACACTAGTCATAGCAGTTCTCATAAATGTTTCTGACTTTCTCTAAGCTCAAGATTTGAGTAACGCTTAATCTCAACTCCGGTCTCACGTTAATTACATTTAAGATCGGGGCTTCCTTATTCCTTGTTATGTCCCAATTTTAACCTTCATAATGAAGCAGGTATGGTAAAGAGTAAAAATCTGGAAATATCAAACAACACGATTTAAGTGACTAACGTTTTCTAGGGTTAATTTAGACCGTTCTCGTAATAGCTCTACCCTTACAACAAGGCTGAGCGAGTTGTTATTAATTGCACTTACCGCTCGGTAACCCGATAGCGCTGTCGTCGAATCATGGTGATCTTGAGTTCTAGTCTGCCACAGTAAAAGTTGAAGTTTATGTAGTCAATACCAGAAGCTAAGCGTAGAATTTCTTCTTGAAGCTCCACGATGCTGGTACGTCCCAAAACATTGAGCGGTTTGGGAAGCAATTGCTCGGCAATTAAAAGGTTAGATATGAAAATAATCAACTGTTTATTCGACTTTGCACTCAGCGTAAGATAAATAAGAGGCAAGTTTACTTAAATGATGTGATGTATTTGTGGATTTCTTTCCGTGCTTCATTTCAGTTATGATAACAAGTCAAGATTGCCGCAGTGTTTTCAGATAAACGAAAGTGAAGATACCGAATGAAACGTGCGAGATATTATCTGAAGGTATTTATACTCAAATAATTGCTTATTTTGATGCATAGAAATTTTTGTTATTGTTTGTATCGACCCGACATTTCTCACCAGTGACAGCATAGCCCATGTTAAACTTTAAAGTCATCACTTCAACTTTAAAATCTACCACAACCGAGAGAACGAGTTCCGCTAATATTTGGTTGCAGTTGCCTTAAAGGAGCTATCTCCAAACAGTATGTTAGGACTTGTTTTGTTCTCCATCTTTTTACTTACGTAGTACTTACTGATAATCAATTACTAACATACTTCCTCATTCATATATTTATCTTTCACATCCTAATCTATTTATTCGTGTTATTCGTGTACATTCGGCTTCTGTTATTTTCGGTGTAATCCACAGGTTTTGAATATTAAGTAATATATCAATTACAAGAAGCCTGGGAAAAAAATTAAGAATTAATATGGCTGATTTCCAAAAGATGACTGAACACTTTCTAAGAGAAACTTGGCGAGATGAAGATCTCCGGAATGGTCAGGGTTTGAATTTGATATCTATCGAATAAAAAAACGAAAAAGAATTGAAGAATCTTACTTGGATTAGTTTATACAAAGAGGGTGAGTTATTAGTCTTCTTAACTTCTGAATTTCCTCCATGTGTTTCAGGAAGTTTCTTATTGGCACTCTATTCTAGGTATTGTCAAAGAATGTATCAAAATGATTGTGACCATGTGGTATTCTTGAGCTGTTGCTTTGAATCGACATTTCCTGAATTCGTTTTAGCTTTTGTGGACTTCCAAAGATGACAAAACTACATTTCGACAAGTTAAGAATAAAGGGATTTCTGGAGAACCTTTCTGACACTGATCCCAAGTCATCATTGATATGTTGTTCAAGGTGACTAAGGTTTTTGGATGAGTAATAAATCTCAGTATCGTCGGCGTACAGAATAATAACATTTTGCCAGCTGACAGTCTGGGAGATCATTTATATGAATTAAAAAGAGTTGTGGTCCCAGGAAGGGGTACCCCAAGGGGGACTTCAGTAGCTACAGACTGATCATCTCCGACTGATGTGATTTTTGACCTGTTTGTGAGATGAGATCTAAACCATGGGAAGTGGCATATTCGTTTGCTTCTGAAGCAGGTAATGATCAACCGTGATGCTTGGCTCAGATAATTCCAGGAAAACAGCGCCTGTAAATTGGCACTCGCTCAGTGGTAAGTTGACCTTTGTCATGTTTGGCTGCTTTGATTCATTTGGACTTGGTTTGGTGACGTTAAAGTAAAAAGCACTCTTTGACTTCCGTTACCTTTCTAATTGTCGTCAAGCGTAAACAAAGTTATTGCTGGAGATCTTTGACTCATAGCAAACGAGAGTTTGTCGGTTTGAACAATACCAAAGTAGAAAACTCTTCATTAGTGCAGTTTTTAATTGAGTCTCGAAGGTAATTCTTGATTGCTTTGGTTTTGCATAACTTCGCTCTGTGAATGATCCAGAAAACTCGCACCACTGTCTCAACTGGTCGGATTCAAAACTTACACAATTCGTTATTTGGTCACTCGCGTTTTTCCCAAATTTTTTATGCAGTTTGCCTGTCCTTGTTTGAGTTGTCATGGGCTAACGAAGATGTCGAGCGTAGCTCTGACTGGCTGTTGTTATTTACTTTGGTTTTGCTTTTTTGAAACTCAGCTGAAAACTTTTCTAACCTGTTATTATTTTTCACAACATACTTTTCAAGAAATTAACCTGAATAAAAGATCACAAATCTGGAGACAGAGATGTACCAGATATTTGGTATTTAGTATCTACATAACAAGTGCGTAACTCATGACAAATTTTGTTTAAATGACGTAAATTAACTCTTTTACTCCCAAGATCTGATTGTTAGTTCTCCCCTCTAGCTGCTACCCATTTCTTTGTAAATTAGTTATGAGAACTTGGTGCTAGATCAAGATAGCAGCTTCTATTCTCATCACCTGTTAGCTGATAAATGTATGGATATTATAGGGAGAAGTTTCATGTTGATCACTTCTGGGAGTTAAAGGGTTAAAGGCGTAATGAAAGCATGAAAACATACGGAGTTGAATAGCAAACGAAGGTTGGCTGAACCAACAATAGAAAAACTATTCTGTTTATCTTTTGAAGTAAATTTTATAAAATTCCCTACCATAAATTTATTTGTTTCAATAAGTAGAAATCTAGACTACTGAGATTATTCTGATGGGAATTGATACAAAAATATACGCGTTAGCAAGTCGTTGAATTAGCAAATATCACTAAATATAATTACCATTCAAGAACCCACACTTTCCCCAGGCCAGAAGAGTCAGAGCCAAAATTCAATGTATAAGCTTAATGCTTACTACATGTACCACGAATAGACTTTCTTAACCAACGGTGACGACTTATCCTTTACAACTTCAATTAACGGTCTTACTTTATTGACGCATGCTCCCCACAATCTCCTCTATAAAAATTCCTTGATAGGCTCTCTGTCCAAGCAACTTTCTTACACGTTTACAAATTACAATGGAGGGTGGTAAAAACGTGCTCTTTGTCTCCCTTTGGGGTTAAGTCTCAGAAAGCAGGGATGGTTTTAGTTTAACTTTCAAGTTAAATGTCCTGTGCTGTGCGCGATATCAAGACAACAACTACCAAAATAACTTGAAACATTCCAATTGTCTTGTCAAAGTGGGCAGTTTCCTTGTGCGTCGGGTTCTTCCACAGGACACTCACAGTCGCCGGCGGGACCATCGTTCAAATCTTCATCGCTGCTGCTGCTACTGTCAGGTTGATCAGGCAGCAGCAACTCTTCCTGGAAATTAAAAACAATAACAATTTTAAAAAGTGGTTCTACGGCGTTGTTGAGCTTTCAACTTCAATTTTTTTAGTGAGTGTCAAAAGTAATCTGGGATGGCTTTGTTTTTACTTCTCTTCGCTCTAGGATTGGTCTAAACACTCGCGCCAACTTTTTTGAAACCTACCAGATTCAAACTACAACTAGCAGCGACTTGACCACATGCATTTCCTCACGTTTCATGCAGTCTTCATGCCTTTTACTTTAAGATCTCACTGGCTCCAAGTGATATTTCAGATTGACTTACGTCCTTGCTTTGGTTTAGTTCTTGAAATACTCGGATCAATGTCAATATCTGAACAACTGCGCACCTACCCCTTCCCTAACCCATACCCTAACTTATTATCAGTTGACTGTTGTTGGGTAAGGGGAAGGTAGGTGCGCAGTTGCTAAGATACCAACAGTTCACCAAATACTTAATCGTAAAGCGTTACAATCTGTTCCATTCCTAACTCCCCTAGTCAATATTTGGAGTATTCGTGCCTCTTGGTATTCGTTTTTCAAAAGAAAGAATTTTATTTCTCATCCGGCTTCTCTAGTATGCCTCCCTCACAATTAAAAAAACTCGAAATATCGCGAATCAAGTCCTGTACAAACAGATTGCAAGCGTATGACGAATTAAACTGTTAATACCTTGTCTCTAGTATACTTGAAATATTTTAGTCGGATGGGCTCATCTGGATTTCCATAACGAAGGAGTCTGAAAAAAAGCCCAAATGATAAAGCTACTGACAAAGCACTTTGTTGCAAATAAACCAGCAAAATTTAAAAGGAAAGAAGCAAATTAATTAATCTTCCAGATAAAAAAATCCGGTACGCCCCAAATTTTTCATGTTAACTCTCAACTGATAATTTCTAAATTACTTTCTATTTCTAATTCTGTTTACTTCAAAATACTAAGTCACACAAACATTTCAAGATGAAGAAACTCTTACGATTTGTCGGTCCAGAATGGTTTTTCTTCCAAACTCCAGTCGCAGAACATGATCAAGTACAAAACGAAACACTTGAGCGTGACGTATCCAACGTTCTAAAAGAAATCAAGACGTGTAAGTAATGGTCTAAATCATCAAGAGAATTTTCTGCATCTAATGCTGAAATAGCATTCTCTAGTCTCTCAAGGTACACTGAGAAGTGAACCGTGAAAAAAAACAAAAACAAAAAAAACAAAACCATTGCCGAACCCACTTCGTATCAAATAATTTAACCCTTTAACTCCCATGAGTGACCAAGACAGAATTTCTCCCTACAATGTCGATACAACTGAACTAACATTATGAGAACTGTATGGTTGACAATAACGAGAATTACAAATGTGATCTGGGAGTTAGAGAGGTTAATCGAATGTGACTGAGATGTAATTAGTCAAACAAGACAGGAGCGCGTTTTCATTGAATGTTGTAAAACCTTAACAAAAGTAATCCAAACTGTTCATCGCAATAAGGGAAGATTTCTCAAGGAACGACTCAAGTTCCAGAGCACAGACTAATCCCGCATTGCTTTCGACACTCAGTTGAAGAGTGTTTGTATGTCATCCCAAGTACTAATAGGGAGATCTTAAGAGGATAACCAAAGTACTGGTGTCAATGACGGAGAAACATCAGCTTTCAAGTAATAAGTACATTTGTCATTCTGGCCGGCAGTTAACACAAACTACAGCTAGGTCCATGCAACATCACACTTCCTAGAAATATTAGATAATTGGAATCAAGTGACTTACCGTCCCTGTGCACTTATGGTTTTCAGGGGAGGGTGGGTCAGACAATGGACCGTGGGTACAGATCAGCTTGGACTTAAGACCCTAAAACAAAGCACATATCTATTGAAGCCCTAGAACAAATATTGAGCCACCTAATCTGAACACTATGTTGTTTTACTGTGTTGCATTTTGGTGGAAAATAAGCATTTTCATCTGTTTATGCAACAACCGACGAAGGGAGTCTGTACATTACGAGCCGAAAGCTAGCGATTTACGAGCATTTCAGGTGTTTTTTCCCAAAATCTCAAGAGGGTCATCGTGGCAAGAATAAGGTAGGGTCGTGAGAAGCTTTTCGCTTTGCTTTCACCATCCGGCGCTGCCCATTTACCAGCTGAAAGCCTGAAACATGCTAACTGCTTACTAAATAGAGGATTATTCCTTAGCACACTTACCTTGACGTTAAACCTGCTGGGATCAAACTCGTTTACACTCTTGCAGCCAGAAATACCAAAAACCTTGGGATCTCTTTGAGCCAGATGACAATTTCCTACAACTTTTTGCCCCTTGTCAATTTTGTAAACACCAGAAGAAGACTTGACGAAGAATGCTCTCCTGAAAATGGTAGACAAATAGAAAAGGTATTGAGATATGTTAGTTGGTATGCCAGTCAGAGAAAGAGATCATATGACGATACCAGTTAAAGAGAGGGTGAATATGGCTGCTGGTAAGACCGGAAAGGTTTGTGCGTTATATTTGGTTAAATGTTTTCGATCATTGCTGGAGTTCATAGGTGTAGGAGTAAAGCTTACCTGGCGACTCCAAAATACAACGCCACTGGTGGATACATCCTGAGAATCTGGAAGAAAAAAGTAGTTACTATTGGAAGTCTGATGGTCGGTAAAACCGAAATAGACCTTTTGCAGCAGTCGCTCTGTAGATGAGAGCAGACGAGGTCAATATTTAAAGCTGCTAGTAATTACAACGCGTTTCAAAGTTTAGCGTAATATTTAAGAACGTGGCAAACCACATACGTCTCTTCGACTGGGTACAGCGATTATTCCAGAAACATTTACCTCGCAAACTAAATTATCTAACTTCTTCATCTTATGGAGTGTTTTAAGATTCAGTCCTATGGGTCCCAGGCATTCTCGGATCTCCTTCTTCAGTTCATTTCGTTCCTCACAGGACATGATGGACAAGCGCGCAGCTCCTGACCGCATAGCTGCTCCTGTACCAGGGGCGGCATTAAAGCTGCAAAGACATTGCAAGTAATTTAAGTAATTTGAAGCACTTCTCGATCGTGCGTCGTAAATACTGCAGCCTATCAGGGCAAACAGAAATTTTGCCAAGAGGGATTACTCCCTACCATAATTGCTGTGGCTGCCAATGTTAGGCCAATGTTGGGCTTTACCAACTGAAGCTGCTTTACTGTAATCTAGTTTACCATTCCCATCGTTCTTTTTTATTAATCAAGTGAGAACTAACTCTTCCGATCAAGTAATTAAGTCACCATATTGAATGGGTAGGCGCAAATGACCACTTCACTACCACCTCCCCAGTATATTTCTTTATTCCCTCCAACCTAGGCTTTACGCGCTCTCACCATCCAACATGGCAGGTTCAACACTCGAAATACTTCTGCTATGTAGGCTAGCTATAGAGTCGCTTCATAACAAGGAAGTGGCAACTTACTTCAACATCCACAGAATCTCCAACACCGCCTCATCCTCTGTCAGACCGTGATTAGCTGCCTCCTTTAAGACTGGATCAATATCAGGAGCATTTGCTATGGCGTCTTTCAAGTGGTTGAATGCGTGAAGGGCTTTCTTGTATTTCCCAGATGGTTTCCCGAAGCACGTCCTATAAACATGTTCACATTTCAATTTACATTATTTCTCAATAACTCTTTACGGTGGCTAATTTACGTTATCAGCTCAGTTCATAATACTTAATTACCCTGGTATACTCTCCTACCGTCGCAGCACCACAGTTTCTTCACAAACTTACCCCCTTCAGTCAGTCAGTCAGTCCCCTGAACGAGGCTATTTGTCTTTCATGAAACTGTCATGCTGCGTCAGCGGGAATTGTGAGAAACTAGGTTGATTTGCAAGTAAACTGCAGTTATTAAAG